AAAGAAATTTAACATTAACAAACTAAACTAAACAAAAAAAATTAATTAAAAAGAAAAAAAAATTTCGGGTTACCTTGTCAAACTAGGTTAATCCGTTAAACCCGGGATCCGTGTGATAAAAGTCTGATAACTAAATAAAAATGGACGGGTTAACTCATAAAACCAAGTTAACTCATCAGACCTGGAATATGTGTCATGAAAGTTTAATAACTAAATATAAAAAAATTTAACAAGAATAAACTAAAGTAAATGAAAAAAAATTAATTAAAAAGAAAAAAGCAAAAAAAAAAACTCCGGATCAACTCATCAAACCAGATTAATCCGTTAAATTTGAGATTCTTGTTATGAAAGTCTGATAATTAAATAAAAAAATTAACATTAACAAAATAAAAAAATAAAAAATAGACAGGTTAATCCAGAATTAACCGGGTTAACCCGTGAAACCAAGTTAACCCGTGAAACCTGAGATATGTGTTATGAAAATTTGATAACTAAATAGAAAAAAATTTAATATTAACAAACTAAAGTAAACAAAAAAATTAATTAAAAAAAATCAGGTTAACTCGTGAAACCAAATTAACCTGTTAAACCCGGGATTAGTATTATAAAAATATAATAACTAAATTTAAAAAATATTAACATTAATAAACTAAATTAAACAAATAAAGAAAGGAAAAAAAAAAGCAAATATTAACATTAATAAACTAAATTAAACAAATAAAGAAAGGAAAAAAAAGTTAAAGGCATCAAAAATAAAAAATAAAAAATAAAACAACGAAAAAAAAAACTTTAAAAAACAGCTTAAATTACGAAAAAAACAAAAACAACAATTCACTAAAAAACTTTAAAAAACAGCTTAAATTACAGGAAAAAAAAACAATTCAGTATTTCACTGTAAATTATTACAGTAAAAATCTGAATAATTTTAGTATTTTCCTAATAAGCTTGGAATAGTGAACTTGGAAGGCAGACTATAAGAAATATATAGTTTAGCAGAATAATCAAATTATCCATGTCCGCGATCCTCCTGCTATATTTCTCCAAATATCTTCCCATTCCCTCCACTGTAAAGAAGCAACGAGGAAGAAACTAACAGGAAAAAAAGACGACAGAAAAAAAAGAAGCCACAGCTAGTGAAATGAATTGGGATAGTTCGAGGCTGCACGAAAAGATCAGCAGCCTGCTAATGTACCAAACTTTGAAGAGGATCAAGGCACAGTTGCCCCTACAGCAAAGGAATTGCATGGTTCTTCCAAAACTCGTCAGCATTCTCTGTCTTACCGTGTGCAGAGAAACATTTGGTGATGCCCAAACTATGACATGGATTGTTTGCACAGAAGTTGATTGAGGTCTAGCCGCAACAAGCACAGC